GCCGGAGGAACCGGGACGACCGCAACAAATATTTCGTTGAACAGTTCGACTGTACTGGCAACTGTAACCCCGGGGGCAACTATTTCTTGATGGTGAACAATATCGTATCTGAAAAATAAAGAAATACATGTAAGAAATATTGAAGAATCCTGTATCATCTAGCATCGCTTTTTCAAAGAAATTTGATATAACAGATGATCGAAGCAGATTCTCAGATGCATTAGTAGCGTAAAGGAATAAAATGCTAAAATATCAACTAATCAAAGCATAAAATTGACTAGTAATCCAATAACGTGAATGTTCGCTTGAAAAGCGCCACAGTATAAGAGCCTCGATTTTACTATAAAATTCATAGATCTTAGGGAATTCATTTTAACTATTAAATTTGTCAGTTTTTTTTATTTCTCACCTTCTTAAAATTCGTCATTTTTGGTCTTATTAAGTGCTTCTTTTCAAAGAAGAAGAGTGAGGAATATTCGAAAATTTAAATCTTTTGAATTTTGACAACAGTAAGCACCTTTACAACCCTTGCAAAGAGGTCATTTGAAAGAGAAAAAAAAGAAAAAAATTAGAAGAGGACAGTGTGAATCCAGGACATGATAATATGATAAATTCAAAAATAGTCTTTCCCAGATTTCTCCCCTAAATTTCACTACTTTGAAATTAGCATGCTAACTCCTTTTTTTTGGAAATTTATTTCTTCCGGATAATAATAACCTTTGTGGATCCTCGCTCGTAATACGGCGATTGCCCGGGAATTGGACATTTTGCGGCAGGCTTTGTAACGTTTTCGACACATTTTCCTCGCTGGATGTGCTGTCCTTTGGGACATTCGCAAACACCTTCATCGCACTTCGATCCGCCCAGACATTGCTTGTCGTCAATGCATAGATCTCCCGGTTCAACCTTCTCCAAGCATTCGTCCTTTATTAATACCTGACCTTCAATGCATCCTGAAAAATTCATAGTATTACAAGCATCAGCCCCATTTTCTTGAAACTAGCTATGAAAAGAATATAAATTTTTT